TTCTAGCTCTTGGGTCCACTGGGGGGAGTGAACCAGCAGATTTTTTAAGTTTTTTTTCAAATAAAAATAAACCTAAAAAAAACTATGGACACACGGGACAATTGTGACATAACAACTGCTACAGCATACACGGATTTCATTGTTCTCATCCTTTACCAATGCCACAGCATGGAAAGATTTCAAAGTAAAACATGGAGTGGAAACACAAGTCTAGAAAAGACTCAAAAAACAGTTATTAGACTGAGGAGAGCTTAACACCGTTGTATCACACCAAGTTTGTAAAATCGGAGAGCTTTCATCTCTCCAGCATCACACATATACACAACGTCCAGTTAAGCATTTTAAAACTACGAAAGTATCTGTATGTGCCCCTCGGTATCAGGTTGTCTGGGACTGCTAGCAAGAGAAAATTTCACCTTCCTTGCTTGTTGCTGTTCTAACTGTAACGTGGATCTGTTTTCTGTCCAAAAGGAGCCAAAATGCAGAGCGCTAACTGCTCCTTCTCCACCGGGTCTCTCTGCACGCTGACTCTGGCGTGGCTCGGAAACGCCAGGAAAATCGACTCCAGTGCTCCTACCTAACAAGCACGGGGCGACGCCTAAAGCAGCGGGAACTAGACACGACAGGAAAGCGTTACCGTGTCCCCGGAGCCAGCGGCGGCCGAGCGCTGACAGAGGCGCGCCTCAGGCGAGCGGGAAGCCGGGCGGCAGCGCGCCGGGGACGCTCAGGCCGCGGCCACGCCCCTCCGCCCGCCTCGGCCAATCGGGAGGGCGGAGGTGACGCGGGGCCTGACTGGGGCCTGGAGGCGGGACCTGACAGGCGAGGGGCGGGGCCTGGAGGCGGGACCTGACGAGGCGGGGTCTGCCGGGCGATGGGCGGGGGCCTGGAGGCGGGGCCTGGCAGGCGATGGGCGGGGCCTGGAGGCGTTATCTGACAGGCGGGGGCTAACTCTGGGCGGGGCGCGGGTTGACCGGGCGGGGCCTGTCCTGCGAGGGGCGGGGCCTGGGCGGGGCGCGCCCGCAGGTCTACGCTGGCGGCCTATGCAGGTGGAGAGCCCCCCCCCCTCCCGGCCTTCGGGCTCCGGAGTGAGGAAATGGCATCGGGGACCCGGATGGAGGATGTGAGTGCACGGGAGGGGAGCTGGTGAGCCCGGCCGTGTCCAGGACGCCGTTCTCCCCGGGCCGGGGCGCGCGGGGCGGGGACGGCGGGGTGTTCCCTGAGCCGGGGCGCGAGGGCCGCGGGGTCGCCCCGGTGGGCCGAGGAGGCGGCGGCGCCCCGGCGGGCGCGGCCCACGTGACAGGACTGCGCGCCTCACGTGACAGCCGCTCGGGAGCAATGGGGCTGAGCTGCGGCCGCCGCAGGACAGCATCGTGTTAAATGTGGGCTTGCTAGGAACGAAAGGGTTCTTCAGTCTTCCATCACACCAGAGAATCTTAGCTGCTTAAGTACTAGGAAGGCGCATTTGGAGGAAACGTGTATCATGCCCCCAAATTAACTGGGTTGCTCGTTACACATAGCAAAATCCATACCCTTCAGGAACAGACAGGTGCCTTAGAGCACTTACTGGGGTTAATCAACTGAACAAAGTGCCCTGGGAAAAACAAAAGACGCAGGAAATCTGTCTCAGAACTGCAAGTGCTCCAATTCGTAAAAGTCCTCCTGGCAAAATGAAGACCGCTTTCTGATGACATGACTAAATTTTTATTTTACTATTTTTTCCAGTTTAAAACAAAAACAGGAAACTGTAAGAGCTGGGAACCGATTTGAAGCTCATATTTAAAGCAAAATCTACTGAATGCTGAAACATTTTCTTTTTCATTTACACTGGAAAGGCAGGGAGAAGCAGACCAAGATCTTCCGTCTGCTGATTCACTGCTCACACCCTCACAGCAGCCAGGGCCGTGCCAGGCCAGAGCCTGGAGCCGGGCTGGGCCTGGATCTCCTCCACGTGGCAGGGGACCAAGGGCTCAGCCCTTGCGTGCTGTCCCCCAGGGCGCGCACCTGAGGCAGAGGAGGACTCCAGCAGGAGTCAGAGCTGAACTAAACTGCTGTGCTCACCGCCGCCACTGCCATGCACCTCTGGAGATGCGATGTTTAGGGGGAACAGAAGGACGGGGCATTTATTTGAAAGAGCAACAGGGAGGGCCGGGCAAGGAGAGATGTTCCACATACTGCTTCATTGTCCAAAGGGCAGGCTGCCCTGGGTGGCTTCCGGCCCGTGATCAGGAATGAAGGAAGGAGGCGCTCGGGTGGGGGTGTGGCCGGGTCCTAAGCAGGGACTTACCTGTTGGGGCCAATGCTTGCCACTCCTTTTGAATTTTTTGAGGATAAGATTAATGAACCAAGAATTTATGGAAAGAAAATCAGTGTCTAGGAAAGCACAGTCAGGAAGTGCTTCCTGGTCAGTGCTGGCTGCTCAGTGTCTGTGGCTTTTCGCTTCCGGGTGAAGGGAGACCTGCTAGGTTCCATGTCACCCAGCACCTGGCCGTTCGTGTCCCTGCAGCAGGTACAGAGCCGTGTGCCTGTGGGTCTCAGTAAGTCTGTATTTGCAGTGGAGAAAGCAGCAAGTTGCAGGTTAGTTAGGCTGTGTTGTTGTAAGCAGTAAAGGCCGTTCGTTGCAGCTCGTTTAGGAAGATGGGTTTATTTGAAAAGATACAGGGAGAGTGACCAGGAAGGGCTCTGCAAGGCGCCAAAGTCGACTCAGAGTGTGGGTTCCAGGATCTGCTAGGCTTTGCCCCAGAGCGAGCCTGCCTCAGCCCGTGCGGGCAGAGTGGGACAGCCCGGGACTGTGGCTGAGCCCCCTGGGCCGCAGAGGGCAGAGACTGCGGAAGGTGTCCCCGCTGAGACCGGAGACACAACACCCTTCATTGGCTTGTGTCACAGAGGAGCGCGAAGAGACACCACGTGGGCGGAAACCCCAGGGATCTTCACAGACAGAATGGAACTATTACAGTGGCAAGGAAGAATTCATTTGGCGTCAGGGGTCCTGGCCCCCTCACCCTGCACTTGAGCTGGATGAGTTCAGAATGACTGCTGCTGCTGGCACAGTCATGCCCCTGCTTCCTGATGGAGCCGCTGGACACTGGGTGGTATCTGAGTCGCAGCCGAGTTATTCTAGTCCTAACCACTTCAGCATAGTCAGGAGAAATGAAAGATACGCACAGAGTTTCCTAAGGAATATTCTAAGTGACAGTTGTGAACAGTGTGGTTCATAGGAGTTTAAACCAAAGAAATACTGCAGGGCCCGGCACAATGGTTCAATGGCTAAATCCTCAGCGTGCAAGAGCTGGGATCCCATGTGGGCACCGGTCTGTGTCCCTGCAGCTCCACTTCCCAGCCAGCTCCCTGCCTGTGGCCTGGAAAAGCAGTCAAGGACGGCCCAAAGCCTTGGGACCCTGTACCCACATGGGAGACCTGGAAGAGGCTCCTGGCTCCTGGCTGAGGATCAGCTCAGCTCCAGTCATTGTGGCCACTTGAGGAGTGAACCAGAGGATGGAAGATCTTCCTCTCCATCTCTGTGTAAATCTGTCTTTCCAATAAAAAGAAATACTTTTTTTTTAGAGAAACGCTGCCGAACATGTTTTGACGTCTTGGTTGGGACTGTGGACAATTATCTGAATTCTAAAAAAAAAGACTCGGAAGGGTATTTTTTGGGCAGTGTAGGAAGCCTTTTTAGCCTAGAGAAGAAAGTGGTTGAATGAGGATGTGTTGGGAGCCAACAGGTAAATTACTGTCCTTGCAGGCTCAATAATGTCTTTGTTTAAATTTCCCAAAACCCACATGTTCAAGAAACTGGGCAGTGTTTTAATGTCTTAGTATACAGACTGAACTCGTGGATGCCCTGTCCTGTGGAGCACGCTGTTCTGGCGGCTCCAGGACTGTGCAGTGTTCGGAGTTAGCCTGGAGATTTGTGAGGGTGCGGTGAATTGTGGTGTTCCTAGCCACGGTGAACTACCAGGGACCAGACTTACCCTGCTGCCAGAAAGGCCACAAAATGAGATCAAAGGTGATCCGCACTTCCTGAGCCGGTGGCCTGAGCAGTGGAGGACAGCCACCTCCACCAGCGGCCAGCCCGGCTTTCCTCCTGGAGGCTCACCCTGAGCTGGGCGGGGGATGGGGCCAGGCTGCTTCACAGGCCCTCTGAGCTGAGGACAAGGAGAGGTCTCTGGAGAGAGCCCAGAGGAGAGCAAGGGGGAAGCGGGAGGACTCCGAGGACCTGTGAGAACCGGGCCTGGGTGTCAGTGAGCGTGGGACCTCCAGGGGCCCCGAAAGAGTCATGGGGAAGGATTAGGCGAGTCCTCGCAGGGCCGGCAGGAGCCCTCTGGATGCACAGGCTCTCAGGCCAGCGCTCAGAAAGGTCTCGCCTCAACAGTGAGGACTAACCTTGGCTGCAATCCCGCCCTGAGCCTTAAATGCAAAGATCACACTGTTTCCGGATAACCAGACTACAGGCAGAGGGAAGCTCGGGCATACAGGGGCACAGATGCCAGCACTCCCAGAGGAAAAGGTGCAAGTGTCGGGCATCTGGTCAAAAATGAAGACGCCTGCAAGAGGCAGGAGCATCTGACCGATCGCCGATGAGCCCACTGAAGCTGAGTGCAAGTGACATGCAAGATAGCACAGAATGCTCTACCTGTTGTCTGTATGTACTAAACCTCAAAGCAGAGCTCAGAACATGTAAACCTTGTAGAAAGGTTTAGAAGCCATCACAGAGAGGACGCTTTTTTTTGCCATAACAGAAATAAGTTGGCAGTTGAGGAAGAATGCACAGCGGTGATGGGGATTCGAGATGGCAGTGTTGATTTCAGAAGAACTTGTGACAGCAGTGAGAAGTCCCAAAAGCCAGAACGCTGGGAGGTGCTGGCAGAGACCCCGCCAGGTGCCGAGACGATAGAGGGAGCGAGTGATGCGAGAAGCCAGGCAGGAGCTGGGAACACAGGAGACCGCTCACCCTGAGCACTCTGATGCGAGGGTGCTGTCATCGTCCCAGCAAAGCTAGGCAGCTGCTGCTGTGAGTCTCTGAGTTGGGAAACAGGGAACTTGGTAAACATAGGGCTGGGACAGTTCTTCACTCATGAACCAAATGTTTTCTGAGTGACAGTCACGAATGACATTGTTGGGTTCAAAGATGAGACTGACAGAGTGAGGAGTTTGGTTTAATGAGATCTAGCGGGGCAAGACAGGTACCTAGGAAAGGATGACAGAGCAGGTGAGCTTGAAGTGCCCTGAGACACAAGGGCGGGTGGCATGACACAGACCTGGGAAGCTCATCTGGGTGGGCGGGGCGGGGCACAGATGTGTGAGGGAGCTGGGGGGCGGGGCACAGATGTGTGAGGGAGCTGGGGGGCGGGGCACAGATGTGTGAGGGAGCTGGGGGCGGGGCGGGGCACAGATGTGTGAGGGAGCTGGGGGCAGGGCGGGGCACAGATGTGTGAGGGAGCTGGGGGCGGGGCGGGGCACAGATGTGTGAGGGAGCTGGGGGGCGGGGCGGGGCACAGATGTGTGAGGGAGCTGGGGGCGGGGCACAGATGTGTGAGGGAGCTGGGGGGCAGGACGGGGCACAGATGTGTGAGGGAGCTGGGGGGCAGGGCGGGGCACAGATGTGTGAGGGAGCTGGGGGCGGGGCACAGATGTGTGAGGGAGCTGGGGGGCAGGGCGGGGCACAGATGTGTGAGGGAGCTGGGGGGCAGGACGGGGCACAGATGTGTGAGGGAGCTGGGGGGCAGGGCGGGGCACAGATGTGTGAGGGAGCTGGGGGGCAGGGCGGGCGTGCACAGTCCTGCAGTGATGGACTTGGTACACAGAGCCTGAAGTTAGGCCTGAACTACCATCTTGGTGAGCTAGCGAAGCTTATTAGTGGCATCAGTCTCAGGGTCACATAGGATAAGGGAGGAGTTGAGCTTAGCAGTTCCCATAAACCTTTCTACAGAACCCATCAGCTTCCAAGAGCTTGTCTGGAACTGTCTTCTGTTTTGTATATCCCATGAAGTGTTCTCATTCAGTTATACAAATGGTATCCAATCAGTTGCTGTCATACAAATGATATCCTATCCATTGTAATCCTATGTTTTCTGTATTGATTTTCGTTTTTCTTATTTTCACCAAGTTGGTTATGGTAGTTATCTAGAAGAAAGATTTTATTTAAAAAAGATTTAAAGGATTATTTATTTTAAAAGAGTAGAGAGAGGGAGCTTTTCCTTCTGCTGGTTCACTCGCTGCATGGCCACAGTTGCCAGGTTGGGGCCAGGCTAAAGCCAGGGGCCGGGAGCTTCCTCCAGACCTCATCCGAGGCAGGGATCACACGCCTGCAGCAGCCTCCACCGCTTTCCCAGGCCGTCCTAGCAGGGAGCTGGCTCCAAGTGGAGCAGCTGAGTCATGAACCAGTGCCTACACAGCATGCTACATCGTGATGCCAGCCTGAGGAGGGTATTTCTTTTTTACAATTTGCTTTAGTCTCTTTAGACAGTTTTGGAAGTTGGAAGACTTGGTTTGGCAAGGCAATGCAGAAAGTGATGGTTCCGTGTGTCCGCCCTTTCCTGTGCCCCAGGGTTCCTTGGACATCATCCAGAGTGTGGACGATGACCCGCTCCTGGACGCCCAGCTTCTCCCACACCACTCGCTGCAAGCGCATTTTAGACCCCGATTCCAGCCTCTGCCGACCGTCGTCATAGCCTACCTCCTCTTGTTTATCCACGTAAGTTAGCCGGGAGGAAGGGGCCACACAGCAATGTGCTGCGTACACGAAGCACCCTGTACCGTGAGAAAGATGGTGCCAGCTTGTACCCGCTGAAGAGCCGCTCATAGCGCACGGTGTTGGTGGCAGAGATGTGTGACCTGTCAGGAGCCGAGCCGCCTGCTTTCACAGTGCATTCTGCCATGATTGCTGCTAGCAGGGAATGGGGTACGAGGGGGGGTGTGGAATAATCTCATTACCAGGATGAAAATAATCAGGACTTACATAGTTCATGCAGAATGCTTCTATGCGCAGTTCTTAAAAAGGACTTGTGATCACTCACGTTTTTTCCTGGGTGTAATAATATTTCCAGAAGCGCTCGCTGATCCAGTTGATATAAATTGTCCTTAAGGTGACAGCTCAGAGTCTTTGTTGACAATGATCCTAATACATGAAGTACTTCCAGAGTCTGTAATAGATGAGTTTATTTAGGTGCAAAAAGCTCTTGAAATCTGTACATTTTTTTTCATAATATACATTTTTCATAGACTATTTGACAACCCATTGTATGCATGGATTTAATAAGTTTTCTTGCAGCAAAATAAGTTTATCTTTTTTAAAAAGTGCATTTTTTCATTGCTTAGAGAGGAAGGATGACAGAGCTCTCCCATCCGCTGGTTGGTTCTCCCGAGGACCTCCGGCTGGGGCTCCCCTGTGGGCACTGGGGCCGTTGCTGGCTGCTTGTTGAGTGCGTTGGCGGGGAGCTGCAGTGCAGGCGGGACTCCAGCCAGCACCCCGGGACAGGATCGTGGCGTTCCAAGCGGAGCCTTAGTGTGCAGCACCGCAAGGCCCACCCTGAGCTCACCTTTTTGAAGAATCCTGTGTTTTACAGCTTATTTTCTGTGCCATTTGACTTTTTACCCATATGCACAGTTGGTTATTTTTTTTAAGATGTATTTATTTTTTATTGAAAGGCGGATATACAGAGAGGAAGATTTTTCGGCTGATGGTTCACTCCCCAAGTGGCCGCAACGGCTGGAGTTGAGCCAATCTTCAGCCAGGAGCCAGGATCTCTTCCAGGTCTCCCACACAGGTGCAGGGTCCCAAGGCTTTGGGCCATCCTCGACTGCTTTCCCAGGCCACAGGCAGAGAACTGGATGGGAAGCAGGGCTGCCGGGATTAGAACTGGCGCCCACATGAGATCCTGGCATGCAAGGCGAGGACTTTAACCACTGTGCTATTGCACCAGGCCCCCATCCAGTTATACAAACCAAAGTGGGTGGATGATACAGTGACTTACTGAGTCCCTTCCATCCGTCCCTCTCACTCACCAGGAACTTGTATAAAACAGGGAGCTCAGGTTGCCCTGCAGCCCTAGGATGCTCAAGCTACACGTGCCTAGAGGCTTTTGAAAGCACGGATGCAAAGAATGGAAACAGCCCAGGTGTCTCTCAGCAGAGGAGTGGATGGAGAAAAGGTGGTACCTCTGCTCTGGAATACTACACAGCCGTGAGAAAGAGTGGAATCCGTTCATTTGCAATACAGTAGTTCCAAGTAGAGACCATCGTGCTTAGTGAAATCTCAGTGGTCAAATATCACACGTTCTCTGATGTGAGTCAGGCTTTAGGCAGGTTACAGGATGAACAGACGTGGCTCGTCTAGCATACAGTCCCGCGGGAGACTGGCTCGTCCAGCATAAGCATACAGTCCCACGGGAGACTGGCTCGTCTAGCATACAGTCCCACGGGAGACTGGCTCGTCTAGCATACAGTCCCACGGGAGACTGGCATGATGCAGCCCAGCACTGGGAGGTAGAGTTACGGTATAGCATGTGTCTCTGCTCCCGGACGCAAGCGGAACTCCTGTTTTGAAACACGTAACATGCAGTACATCACGATGCTAGATTTTCTGCCTTTACCTGCCATGCCATGACACATGTAACTAGCAGAAAGTCAATCCTGTAGCTGTTACTAAGAGGCTACACTAGTGTTATAAACTTGGGGACTAATAGTGGTGGGGGGAGTAGGGAGGGATGAAGGGGAAAGGGAGAGAAAAACCCCTGTACCTACAAAACTGGAAAAAATAAATAAATAAAAATAGATAAAGCCCTTAGTGCAAGGTCTTCCTGCAGGCCTGTCCTGGGTCGTACATTTCACTTACGGGTCAGAAGCACCGAGGCTTTTCCTCGATCTTCCTGTGCGGGGGAATCCAGCTGGACACCACAGGCTGCCCTGTGGGTGCTGTGCACGGTGGCTGAGCGCCTCTGTGGGCCAGCAGGCAGCTTGAGTCCTTGTCCTGGAGAGTGGGACAGTGGAGTTTTCCGGTGGATATGTTTTTGGCATCTGAAGGCACCCCCACCCTGTGTTTCACAGTGACTGTGCTAATTTGCATAGCCACCAGTGCCGTGTGGCAGTTCCCCTTTGTGCATGCCTGGCCAGCGTCTGTTCTCCTTGTACTTCCTGTTCCACCTTCGGCACCGAGGTCTCGGCGGACCCCGCTTGAGGAGCGGGCTCCAGGACTTCCGCATTTTCCTCTTGGCCTTTCGTGCGTTCTGTTTGGAGAAATGTCTGCTCAGGCCATTTGCCCATTTTCTAATAAGCTTTATTTGTTTCTGTTTCTAACTCTACGTTTTATGCTGTGGCATTGCTGTCAGATGCATGGCTTGCACGTGTTTCCTCGGCAGCTGTATGTCGTCTATTCTGCAGGTCGTTCCTGCGCCTGTGGAAGTGTCTCCGTTTCATAGAATCCCATTTCTGTGTCTGTTTCCGTTGCCCATGCTTTTGGGATCTTAGCCAAATCAGCACTGCCTACAGTGATACCTGGAAAACATTCGCTTTGTGTTTTGTTCCAATAGTGTCCTGGTCTCCGTCTTCCTTCTGAACCGCTGGGCCAGTTCCCAGAGTTCCGGAAGTGGTCAGAGGTTGGCTCCGTTTTCTTTCTTCTCTCTGTGGATGCACAGTTTTCCGAGCAGTGCTTGTTAAAGAGAATTTCCTTTCTCCTGTGTACGTAGTCACTGCCTTTGTAAAAATCAGCGTGGTGTAATTATGGTGCTGGTTTTTTCTGGATCTCTTCTGTTCCCTGGTCTTTATGTCTGCCTGGATGCCAGTATCAAGTTGAAATCAACTTTTCCGTTTCTGCTCTAAGGTTTTCTTTTTCCCACGATCCAGCTTGACATGCGCAATCATCCCTTCACGCCTTCCTCCTCTCCCCATGTCTTCCTTCTGTTATTTATCCACAAGTTGAAATAAGCTTTTTCAAACCATGACTTTTATTCCTTAACTTTGAGGTGGTACATTGGCTTTTCAAAAACTCTAGTAAAAACAAACAGGGGGGAAGGAAATTGCCTTTAGCTTAAGTGGTAGGAAAGGATTTTGGAAAAATGTTTATCTTCTCATTTGTGATTTTGTTTGTTTTGCAAGTTTTTAGTAAATCTGTATAATCTGTTTTAAAACTTTGTAACAATGATTAAGATACATGTTTTAAAGGTTGGTTTATTTTGATTGCAAAGTCAGATATACAGAGAGGAGGAAAGACAGAGAGGAAGATCTTACATCCACTGGTTCACTCCCCAAGTGGCTGTAGTAGCCGGAGCTGAGCCGTCCTCGACTGCTTTCCCAAGCCACATGGGAAGCTGGATGGGCAGTCGGGCCGCTGGGACACAACTCGGCACCTTTATGGGACCCCAGGCCGTGCAAGGCGAGCCACTAGGCTCTTCAGTCACTACTGGCACTTTAGCCACTAGGCTATCACGTTAGGCCATATTAAAATATGTCTCAAAACTCATTTGTAAAAATAGGATAGCAAAAATATGAGCTGGGGGTGGTTACTGCAGCTTACTACAGGCCGGGGTGGTCATGCACCCTAATATGAGCCGGGGTGGTTACTGTACCCTAACACGAGCTGGGGCTGTCATTCACCCCAATCACTAGCACTGACTGTTAACCCTGCGGCTTGCTGTCCACCAGGTGGCGTTTGTTGTCCTGGCGTTTTTGACGGGCGTGCTCTGCTCATACCCTAATCCGAATGAGGACAAGTGCCCGGGAAACTACACCAACCCGCTCAAAGTGCAGACCGCCATCATCCTGGGGAAGGTCATCCTGTGGCTCCTGCACGTCCTTCTAGAACGCTACATCCAGCACCACCACAGCAAAGTGAGAAGCCGGGGCTACAGCCTGCTTTACCGCTCCACCAGGCACCTCAAGAGCCTGGCGCTCCTCATACACTCCGCTGGTAAGCCCCGCGGGCTCGGGGCTCCTCCGTGGCTAAAGGAGACAGAAACCCTGCATCCACGAGGGCCGGGCCAGGCTGGAGCACCAGCCCCAGGGCTTCTATGGGTCCCCCAAGTGGATGAAGGGGCCATCACATGTTGCTTTCCCAGGCACCTTGGCAGAGGGCTGGGTTGCAAGGAGAGCAGCTGAAACTTGGGCCAGTGTTTATAGGAAGTTCCAGCATCCCAGGCAGTGGCTTAGCAGGCTATGCCATCATGCTAGCCCCAGTGTTTGATTTTATAATCAAACATATCCTCCTGTTTTTGTTTTTTTTTTTTTCTGAGAGTAATGTGTGTTGTATCTGTTATAATTTGGATCACTTTAATGTCTTGAAGCTTTTCTTATAAACACCCTTAATTGTCACTTGCGATCTGGATTTGTTCTGCACGTGGTGTCCATGGACCCATGGCCCTAAGGATGGGGAATGCTTGTCTCCGTGATGCTCGGTGCCCCCTTCTGATAGGCTGTAATGACCGGGACGGTCCGGGGAACAGGTGCTGTCATTTCATTCATTCTCCCAGACACTTGAGGCAATGTGTGTGCAGGCAAGCTCAGACCGCTTACGAAGGACTTCCAATGTATAGTTGCCTCCTTTTCGGTTGTTGTTGCAGATATTTTAATTTTTAAAGTTCTATTTATGTTTATTTGTTTGAAAAGCAAAGAGACAGTGTGTCTCCCACCCACTAGCTCTTCTTTTTAGAAGAAACTGCTCACTTTAAGTTCAGAATGAATCTCGGGAAGATTTGAGTCAAGGTTAGGAATGGCTTTTCCCCCGGTAGAACTGCTTGTGGTGGTCTGGCTTTTGCTTTTCCTTCAGTGTTGTGTTGGTCCATTTCCTTGACGGGCAGTGAAGTCCTTAGTGTCTGTTAGAGGACCAAGCATCGGTGGAGGGAGACCTGGAAGCCGCTGCCCCGCCCACCTGTCTCTCCGGGTATATTCCACTGTCGCTTGCAGCATTCTCTTTTGGCCTCAAGATGTCGCCATCCCACAAAAACTGAAAGCAAAAATCTGTAGGGCCTGGATGACCTTATGTACTTTATGACCAAAATAACGCCCAGTTTCTCGCAAAGATGACCTTGACCTTTGTCCTTCCTTTCAAATTCTTGTTAAACATGTGACTCTTAATTATGATCCCTTTCCAAATCATCTGCTGCTCACGTGAGGACCCAGAGCAACCCAACAACTTGGTTGTTGTCTCTCATGATCGATAAAACACTCATCACTTGGGACAGAAACCAAGTATTAAAGCTGGAGGGTGTTCCCGCTGTTCTTGCCTTTAGGAAACCCCAAGGTGTCAGGCACAGTGCGGTGGGCATCCGGCGGCCAGCAGGGCTCTCCCAGGGGCCGACGCTGTGTTGTGCTTCTGCTTTCCAGGTAACACAGTCCTCCTGCTGCTGCTGTGCCTGCAGCACTCGTTCCCCGAGCCCGGCAGGGTGTACCTCGACGTCATCCTGGCCGTCCTGGGCCTGGAGCTCATCGCTTCCCTCCTGAGTCTGCTGCTCTACGCAGGTGGGCATTGCATCCCGGCGGTGCTGGAAGCGCTGACTGTGGGCACGGTTCCCTGGGTAACTGAGATGCTCTCCGGCTCCCGTGTGCTGACGGCATCCAGCCGCATCCCATTGCAAACTGGCAGGGTCCAGACGCTTCCCCCCGGGCGAGGACTTCTGGAACCCGTGCGTTGTTGTCAGCTACAGTAAACAGCTTCTCATTAAAAAAAAAAGCGCCCACAAACTTTTGTCTCCTTGTGGCCAGCTGAGATGTAAGTTTGGCATTTAAAATTACAAACGAGTAAACTTTAAATGCAAAACTACATTTAGCACAAGATTGCTTTAGGAGAAGCCTTGACGTAATCTGTTCTTGCGCTGACATTTGTTTTGTGATATTAAATATGTCCATTTCAAAAAAAACAGTCATTTCTCTGGTTGTCAAGGGAAGCCGTGTGGGCATGACTTGGTGTCCATGAGCTGATTTGTGTGTGTCCTTGAGTCCAAGAGGAAAGGGGTTTTTACAATGTAAATGCAGTGACTACTTTTAAGGAATTTTTACTTACTGATTTACTTATTGGTTTTAAGGCAGCGAGATGAGAGAGAGACAGAAGTACAGGTTCACTCCCACAGTGCCTGCCCCGAGTCCGGGCCTGGCTGAAGCTGAGGACCATGTTCTTAGCTGCCCGGAACATCACCAGTGCTGTCAGGGTCTGCATCTGCAGCAGGACAGAATCTAGCCGAGCCAGATGTTGAACCCAGGCACCATGGGATGCGCCTGTCTTCTCGGCCAGGTCAAACACCTGCTGTCATAGTTTAATCATCTCTGGGGGCTGTGGCTTAGATGTAAGAATAAATTCAATTGGCAGCACTGTGGCTGCCAGCGTGGTCTCCCAGCCCTTAGTCCAGGCTGCACAGACACTGCCGTGTGTGAGTGTGGTTCATATATGTATTTACTTTATGAAGAGTTTATGTGTCTATAAACTTACCTGAACAAAATGAATGTGATTTGGGAAGATGGAAAAAATTGGTTTCCATATTTGATCATCTTGACTAACAATGACTTTCTTGCTTTAGAGAAAATTAGAAAATTTAATAGAGCCAAACCACAGCCTGACGTACTTGAAGAAGAAAACCTCTGTGCCTACCCAGGCAGTATTACCTCAGAGACCGGCTTCAGGTGAGTTGGGTGGGATGCAAAAGGTCAGAGAAATAAATGGGCTTTCTTTCTGTTTTAAGGATGGGCATTTGGCCCAGCAGTGCAGCAGCAGGTTGGGGTATCCCTGTGCCACACTGGGTACCACACCTAGTTCCGCTCGAGTCTCCAGCATCTTGCTGACAGAGACTGCACGAAGCAGTGGTCATGGCTCAGGTAGCTGGGTCCCTGCACCTGCTGGAGAAGGAGTCTGGGCTCTTGGCTTGGGCCCCTCAGGCGCCATCGCAGGCTCTGGGGTGTTGAAGCAGCAAATGGGGCTCTCTGTCTCTCAAATTATTTAATAGTTAATTTACTTAAAGATTTCCCTCCCCACCAAGCTGGAAACTGTTGTATACCTTGGAGTTTGCATTTGAAACTTTGTAGCTGTGTTCCGTTTGTTCTTTGTTTTACCTCTAGAAAACCAAGCCTGAATTGTATAGATGAATTTACTAAATAGTTTGTTTCTTTGTTGTCAAAGTGTAGTTAACCTCTCTTTAATCTCATGGCGCTCTTGAGGCCAGAGTAATCCTTTCTTCTGGAAACACGTTCTTTTGGGTGGGCTTCCCTGATGAGACAGCCTCGTGGCAGGCCCCTTTGCTGGCTCTTTCTTCTCTGACCCAACTTGCAACCAGCAGTGTAACCAAAGCCATGCCCTCTGTCCCAGTGTCTCCCTTGGTGACCTCTGTGGCTGGAAGTCTCCATCCCGGCTGGGGAGCTCAGGGCTAAAGTTGTCATTAACATTCTGTAAACAACAGCTGGCACCGTGGCATAGCATGCTAACCCTCCTGCAGTGCTGATATCCAATCTGATTACTGGTCCGCGTCCCAGCTGCTCCACTTCTGATCCAGCTCGCTGCTTGTGGTCTGGGAAAGCAGTGGAGGATGGCTCTAGTCCTTGGGCTATGGAAGACCTGGAGGAAGCTCCTGGCTCCTGGCCTCAGATTGGCCCAGCTCTGGCCCAGCTGTGACCCGTGCATCCCTTGATTCTCTGCAGGACCATTTCAACCCTCGAAGAACTTGTTGAAAAGCAAGGAGACATCATAGCGTACCTGCGGCGACACAACGCCCTGTTAAGTAAGCGCCTGTTGGCTCTCAGCGCCTCAGCCCCGAGCTCCCAGTCAACGTGAGAAAGTCAGCACACCGCTGGCGGAGCAAGGCACCTGCCCACCTGACAAGTCAGCATGGCGCTGGCGGAGCAAGGCACCTGCCACCTGACAAGTCAGCATGGCGCTGGCGGAGCAAGGCACCTGCCCACCTGACACGCTGCACAGACGGTTGCTTTGCACTTCTGCTTGAAAACATGAATTCAGTTGTGAAAGTGCAGGGCTTGTGAATCGTTGGAGACGATTTTGAAGAAGCTGTGATGTCACGAGCACACTGCCTGCTGTGTTCGTGTTCATTATTTGGAAATAATGGACTGTTTGTGTTTATCCTTGGATTAAAGGTAGGGTTTATACACCTCCACAGTCAGCAGTTTTTCTACCTGACATGAGAACCTGCTAATAACCTGGTAGTTTATAGAGGAAAACTGACTTGCAATCTATTTTAAAATCAGGGATCCAATCAAATCATTCTCTTGTGAAGTGCTGCTTTTTGTTTTTCGTATGTCTCCTGGGTCTGTGGGTGCAGTCAGGGAAGCGCTCAGCGTCCCGTGGGTCTGCAGGTATAGCTGGGGAGCGCTCAGCGTCCCGTTGGCCTGTGGGTGCAGCGGGGGAGTGCTTAGGACACTTAGGCCAGGCAGGTTGAATCAGAAATTCTCCACCGTAGGGCCAGTGTGTCTCTGGGTTCTTCACCATGTGGAATGGCTACCATTTTCTTTTCTTCTGAAATAAAAGATGAAATATTGGCGCAGGCCAGTGGTAGGCAAATCCGGGCTGCTTGTCCCATTAGCAGCACTTTCCATTGGTCGGCCTGAGTAATTCAGAGAAGGATTTGGAACTTGCACGTTATGTTTGCTCTTCTTCCAAAGTTGGCGTGTAGTTGAGTATTTATTCCCTGGACCACGAAGGTCAGATGTAGCACAGGAATCTTGTGGTCATAAATGTAAATAGAAAAAATAGGAGATACTTTCCTAAGTCACAGAATATACTAAGAACTGTGATTGGGATGAGAATTTAAAGCCACTTTATATTCAGATATTAAACATATCTAGCTGTTGAAAGGAAGTATTTTATGGGTACATGGCATCGTTTCTCTGTTTTCCTAACGTGCCCCTTTGCCAGTTTGCTCTCAGCGCCGTGACACGCTGGTTGGAGGCTTCATGAAGGAAAGGAGCATCTGTGACTTGCGGGTGTATCTTTGGTGGTTAGCCGGTCCTCAACCTTCTATTGAAAAACCATACATAATGGGCCAGGCATTTTGGCAGAGTAGGTTGAGCCAACACTCGGACACCTGAACCCCGCGTCAGAGTCCTGGCTGCTCTCTGCGTCTGATGCCGCTTCGCCCACTAGGCCTGGGAGGCAGCACATGATGGCCCAAGCGCCTGGGTTCCTGCAGGGTTAGGGTTAGTGTGGGAGACCGATGGTCCTCACGTCTCCTGGCTGTACCAGGCATTTAGGGAGTGAGCCAACAGCTGCAAGCTCTCCCGCCCTCCCTCCCTGTTGCTTTGCTTTTCAAATAAATAAATGTTTTAAATACAAAGCTTAGCCACGTTGGCTGTAACTGGACAAAGGATGCGTCACTTGGTAGTATCCGAGTTGCTGTTTGCTTTAGCTACTGCCGTTCCTGGGGCAGTTTAAAAGTTGACGACCCTGAAGGTGACTGTGTGTCAACTGCAGGCAGTACCTCCGAGCCTTCACAATAAGACATTCACAAACGGAAGCCAACCTGGACTCCTCCTTTCAAATTCAGAGCGTGCCCAAGTTCCTTCCCTTCTTCCTTTTGTTTCTCCCTTCCTGGCCAAGAAGTCTCTCTGGAAATTTGCTTCTACATAGGAAAAGAACCTGTCATCTTTGACATCAGTTGCTTGAGAACACACCAGTGGTAGATGATTAGCTCAGATTGATTTTTAAGCTCACCCGGAATCTGATCAATTAATCAATTTCTGAGATTTAGGGAATGAACTTTGGTTTATAGAGAAATAAAAAAAAAAAAAAGAGGAGGGGTGGGGAGCTCAAATCCTGATGAAGACCTGTGTGGTCACGGGTACTTGTAAAGCAGGAACCTTGCGGACAGTGCCTGGAAACGAGCAGGGACATGGAGCGGTGAGCAGCGCGGTTGGTGTGCTACGGCCGTGCAGAGTCCAGGACTGGTGCGGGTTACAATCCAAGAAGGGACAGGCAGAGGCTGCACGGGCTCAGCTCTAAGCACTCTTGGCAGGAAGCACAGGGACTGTGTCGGAGGAGCAGGGCTGGGAATTGCAGCAAGTCGGTGCAGAGAGAACGGAAGCCAGGAGCCTGCGGCATCAGAGGCCCTGGAGGCCATTCGAGTCAGAAGCGGGAGGTCAAGGTGTGGGCGAGAGGCAGGCGAGACCGGGCCCGAAGGTGGTGACACTGGAGGGGACCACGCGTCCTCTGCAGGACAGTGGGATCCTCTGAAGGGCCTCAGGCCACAGACACCAGTTTTACTTTTAGAAGGATCACAGTAGTTGAGCTTGGAAGGTGGCCCTGGACGAGGACAGCTGTGGAGCCATTTTGTTCTGAGTGTGGGTCTGTATGTGTGTATATATGTGTGTTCTCAGTGACAATAGCATCGTGATTTGTTATAAAATAAAAAAGCATTATTTTTTTAATGGCTATACTGAAAAATACAAAGAAAAATGATCTTTTCAAATGCCACTACCGAGGAATTGCACTGGTTTGTACACCTGGTTACCCCATACCCTTTCCAGTAGTCAGTAATATCAGTGTGACCCAGCCCAGCGGGTGGCTCATTACTGTGGATGGAATTTCTTTGAATACTAGTGGGGGGAAGTGTGCCGCTCCCCCGTTTTGTGATGTTTCATACATGCTTTGTGATATATGCATTCAAGTCCTTTGCTTATGATCGTCCTGGGATAGTCTTTCTGTTACAAATACAATCTTCCTTTATATACGAAGAGTAGTCCCTGGCTTGCATTTACTGAAAGTATGTCTCGATCGTGTCTATTTAGAACACTGGATTGGTTTGTCTCAGAATCAGAAGTTCAGTGTAGATCTTATCACTGTTGATTCTTCAACTCCCACAGCTCTGATTTCTTCTTCACTCACGGGTGGGAGACTTCACACGGCCGGATGGCCCGGCTGCCCTGGGCGTGACGCGCTGCAGAGTTCCCAGTAGCTCCAGTAAATACCCACACACCCACGCCTCTGCTACAGGTTCTTTGCCTTCTCTCTGGTTTTCAAGCAAGTCTTTGTTCACCTTTTATCTTTTTTAAACTTTCCCCAGCTCTCCCGTAAGACTACAGACATGGTGGGTCATACCAGGCTTTGTAAGCAGTCGCCCGTGCATGAGGGCGGTCGGCAGCGTCCTGGGGCCTGGGGGCCAGAGCAGACCCCCAGTCGCGGCAGACGGCTCACAGTCAGTGACTTGGCAGCTCACTGCCGCAGGCCACGCCCTAGGGGCTGGAGACACAGCGGTGAGATGACACTGCCTGCTTCTCGGAGGGGCAGCAGAGGGAGAATGGCAGTGAATGGCACAGACAGCAAACCCGCTGGGCTTGGCCTTTTGTCAACTGTAAGTATAGAACCCTGGGTCTAGTGTGTCAAGGAGAAGCCTGACCGCGTGTGCTCTGGGAGGCGGTGAAAGATGGCCTGGTGATCCTGTCACCTCATAACGGTGACATTCCTTGCGACTGCCTTCATGTTGACCCAGGCGTGTCCTTTGCAGACATCTGGGGAATCAGCTAGTCTGTTATGCAAGATCTCCTGCTCATTTACTCTCTCTGTGCCTTTCAGATGCGTGCGCCTTAAAGACAGCACATGGAGGTTATATTACGGAGACGCAGAAGGGGGCTGGCCCCGTGGTGTGGCGGGTAAAGCTTTCTCTACGACAGGCAGTAGTTTGTGTACTGTCTGTCCCACCTTTGATCCAGCTTACTGCATCAGAAGTTTGCCCCATTTTCCCCTGCCCCCCACCGCCCCTGTGAGCCATCGGAGTGAAGTTTCCTGGCTCCTAGCTTTGGTGTGGCTTCGCCCTGGTTATGGCCAGGTAGGGAGTCAGCAAGTGTTACGGGGTGCAGCCAGTGATAGCCAGCACCCCTTGACCGTGGGCCAATGGAATGTGGCTGTGTCCTCTGTCCTGAAGGTGGGCGTAACAGCAATGGGATGTTAATTCCATCCTTAGTCACGCCCCCCACCCCCTAGGTATTGGCACCTGCCCGCCTGTGCCTCACCTATCAGCTGAGAGGGGACGGCATTGCATTGTTGTGAAACCACACCCCTCACAAGCCCCTTTAAGAGGTTCCTGGAGCAGGGGCTTGCTCTCTTTCTGGTCACGGGCTTCCTTGCTCTGGCATCTCGCTCTCGGCTGACCCAGGACAGGTAATCCCCTGCGCGTGGTCCCTGTGTACCGCTTAGATGGGAGAATGGCTACAGCAGCTGTTTATGGTTTGTGTGCTCCCCAGGAGAGGGGAGACCTAGCGGTGATGGAATGTGGGCATAGAAGCCAGGGAAAGGTGAGCGCCTGCAGCTTTGTGAGTGTGCCCGGGTCATGTGCTGCATGTCTCAGGATAGCTGGGACAGAGGGCCTCAGTGTAACGGGTGGACTTCAGGGTAGTGGACACTCGTTCCTCTCGGGGTTGTCATTTGTTGGATTATATTCGGTTGGATTATGATTGGTGGGATTACAATATGGTCTTGTGATTTGCTATTTCTTTTGTTTTTAAGATTTGTTCATTTTTATTGCAAAGTCAGATATATACAGAGAGGAGAGACAGAGAGAAATATCTTCTCTCCGATGATTCACTGCCCAAGTGACTGCAGCGGCTGGCACTGTGCCGATCCAAAGCCAGGAGCCCAGATCCTCTTCTGGGTCTCCCGTGTGGGTGCAGGGTCCCAAGGTTTTGGGCCGTTCTCAGCTGCTTTCCCAGGCCACAAGCAGGGAGCTGGATGGGACGTGGGGCTGCCGAGATTAGAACTGGCACCCATATGGGATCCTGGCGCATTCAAGATGAGGACTTTAGCCACTAGGCTATTGCACCAGACCCAGTGATTTGCTATTTCTAATATGCTCTGTTATCACCAAGCTTGTTTACTAAACAGTCCTTAATAAACCTTAGATACTTGTGTTCCCCTAACACAAGGAGATGGAAGATCTCTCTCCCTGTCCATCTCTCTCTGTGCCTCTCCTCTTTCATTTTGCCTTACTGTAGGTGAGGATAAACATTGTGTAAAACAAGATTGAGGGCTGGTGTGTTGGCATAGCAAGCCAATCCTCCGCCTATAGCATCTACACTCCACATGGTTGTCCCAGTTTGTGTCCCAGCTGTTCCACTTGCAATCCAGCTCCGTGCTTATGGCCTGGGAAAGCAGGGAAGGGGTGGGGGACTAGCAAGCGGCTCCTAGGTCCTGGCTTCATGCCAGCCTCAGCTCCTGTCCTTGAGGCACATGAACCCGCACGTAGCTGGAGGTTCCCTCGCAGTCTGCCTTTCCAATAAAAGAAGCATCTTTCAAATAAAGAAAAAAGAAAATCAAGCCAAGGTAGACAAAGATACTCCCAGAATCCTTGTGGTTTATTGCAGCACACCCAAAAATGAGAAAAAGAACACCAGATCCATGTAGTACAAATTTCTGCCTTCCTGCAGGGCAGGCCAAACCCCTGGTGGCTGCACTGTGGTCTAAATGGGACATAAAGAAACCCGAGGAGTCAGCAGGCGCTCAGACACCACTGTACTCCAGGCTCAGCTTCCCCACATCCCAAGGTCCTTCTCAGCCGTTCACGGGCTCTGGCCCTGGCTCCGGCTTGCTCCCAAGGCCTGCTGTGCATCAGTACTCTTTATTAGAGGTCTCAGTGTCTGGGGCTGGAGGGGCAGTGTCTCCCGCAGTCACAGAGCTGAACGCAGCCAGGGGGCAGGGGGTGGGGTGGACTAAGCCCAGCTCACAGCCTTCCTCTGCCTGACACTGCCCCCTGCAGCGGCGTAAGCCCATGACTCAGGTTCATGGACCTGATGAGAGCAGGAGACACCAACACAAACACTTTGTAATCTTGGGGAGGAGGGGAAAGCAAGGATGGGAAAGGGATTAAAGTCCTGAGTGGCTAATGAAAGTAAGATACCTTAATGGGATCTGCTTCTCAGTGCAGGCCCCTCCCCTGACAGCACCCTGGGGGGTTCCTGCCTCAGGGTGCCCTAGCCCCACCCAGATGCTCTAGGGCAGGGCTGCCAGTTGTAGGGTGGGGACCTAAGAACCCTGCCCTCCTGGCTGCCTGTAAGAGCCAGTCACTGCAGAGCAGTCTCCACTGCTGCAGACTTCAGGGACCTTCTGTACTACCTGCCCCAGGTAAGCCAAGTTGGCAGATGGGTATGGGAGGTTGTCCTGAGGCTGGTCTGATGCGCTGGGGTTTCGCTGGTAATGGGCAAGCGAGAAGGTCACGCCAGGTTTAGACTCAGTGGACATACCAGATGCTGGGGCTTCCATACCGTGCCTGAGTCACACACCCTAACAGGTATCCCAGCAGGTATAGCTGGCAGAGATTTGCGCCATTCAAGCACTGTGCTGGCAAGGCCCTGAGGAGGTGCAGGGCAGTGAGCTGGAGCTGCAGACACGCCTATGGTGGTCACAGCCGTGAGAGTTAACGGGACAGTTCATGGCAGTGCCCTTGCTGTCCTGTGACTGAACCCTCAGAGAGCCGGGGCTGCTGAGGTCAGGAGGAACTCATCAATGAGCCCAGGGGTGGCCGTGCGCCAGGCAGGAAGGAGGGAACCTGCTTAGACCAGCAGACTGGGGAGAGGGAGACAGGGAGCTCAGGGAGGGGAGAGCTGAGAGAGCATGGTTCTGGGCCAAGGGAAGGCTGGCATCCCATGGCAAGAGCTGTCCTAGGGCAGGGCTGCCTTGAGTGGGAGGCCCCGGGTGTGCTGCTGGCGTTGGTGGTCATGGCCACCAGGTGGCAGCATGGCAGCGAGTGGAAAAGATCAGTGAACTGCGCGTGAGCCTGGGGGAGAGTGAGTGAGCCTGGGGCCCACCGGGATTTGGGGAGACGAGCGAGAGTGAGCCTGGGTCCCACCGGGATTTGGGGAGACGAGAGAGAGTGAGCCTGGGTCCCACCGGGATTTGGGGAGACGAGAGTGAGTGTGGCCCACCGGGATTTGGGGAGATGAGAGAGTGAGCCTGGGGCCCACCGGGATTTGGGGAGACGAGAGAGAGTGAGCCTGGGTCCCACCGGGATTTGGGGAGACGAGAGTGAGTGTGGCCCACCGGGATTTGGGGAGATGAGAGAGTGAGCCTGGGGCCCACCGGGATTTGGGGAGATGAGAGAGTGAGCCTGGGGCCCACCGGGATTTGGGGAGACGAGAGAGAGTGAGTGTGGCCCACCGGGATTTGGGGAGACGAGAGAGTGAGCCTGGGGCCCACCGGGATTTGGGGAGATGAGAGAGTGAGCCTGGGGCCCACCGGGATTTGGGGAGACGAGAGAGAGTGAGTGTGGCCCACCGGGATTTGGGGAGACGAGAGAGTGAGCCTGGGGCCCACCGGGATTTGGGGAGATGAGAGAGAGTGAGCCTGGGGCCCACCGGGATTTGGGGAGACGAGAGAGAGTGAGCCTGGGGCCCACCGGGATTTGGGGAGACTCCACGGAGCACTGCCGGCTCCCGAGCTCCCATGGCTGGAATGGGGGGGCGTCTGGTGTTCGGGCAAATGGGCTGATTCTTCCTCTCCCTGCCCCAGGCTGCTCTCCTTCCTGTCCCTTGTCCTGACTTCGCAGACTTGGAGAGTTTGTCAACAAGGTGAGACAGAGCTGCTATATCTAAATTATCAAAAATAACCCACATTCGTTTTCATGATTCAATGTTTGTTTCATCTAAATTCGCTGTATCCCCACAGGTGAGTGTAGTTGAGTGATTTCAATTGATACCTTGGAGCGTGAAAACGACCCAAGACCGTGGGGTGATCTCCACTCCAGCCTGGTCCCTCACATTTGACAGCGAAAAGCTCTGCTCAGCTGATTGTAGAATCAGTGTTTCAGGAACTGCCCAGCCAAACGCACCCCACCTCTTCCGTTCTGGTTCAGTTCTGACATTTATGAACAGACGTGTATCCAAAATTTGAAAAGTTTAGGTGAAAAACAAGGAAATGAATTCTGTAGCAAAAAAGGTGAAACATCAAAATAGATGCGATGTGAGGTCCAACAGTAGCTGTATTTGCCTTAGATTTCTCACAGGATAAAAATTATTTGTCTTTGTTTTCAATCATTTTTCTAAAAGGGTTGTATTGGAGGGCCCGGCACGATAGCTCAGCTGCTATGTCTTTGTCTCACACATCAGGAGCCTTCACAGTTTGTCCCTCCTGCTCCACTTCCCATCCAGCTCCTTACTTGTGGCCTGGGAAGGACCCTGTCCCTGGCTGGGAGACCCGAAGGAAGCTCCTGGCTCCTAGCTGCAGATCGACCCAGCTCTGGACATTGCAGCCACTTGGGGAGTGACCCAGGGGATGGGAGATGTTTCTTTTTGTTTCGCCCTCTCTCAGTAACTGCCTTTCCAAAACAAAGTAATAAATCTTTAAAAAGGTAGAGTTGCAGAGAAGTATTACAGAGGAGTATTCCATGTGCTGGTCCACTCCCCAAGTAGACACGTTGACCAGGCTGGGCCAGGATGGAGGCAGGAGCCAGGAGCTCCATCTGGCACTCACAGCAGCAGGACCCACGTGCCTGGGCTGGCTTGTGTCTTGCCAGGCACTTGAGCAGGGAGGGATATTGGAAAGAGAGCAGTAGCTGAGACTCAAACTGGCATTCCGCATAGGGTGGCATCATCACGAGTGGCGCTTTAACCATCCGTGCCACCTGACTGGAATTTTTGAGATCAGGATTCTATTCTCCCCTGAGGGCTGCTCAGATGGCTATGTACTTTCTCTGGGTGCCCCCATGAAGGTGCCAAGGAATGTAGGCGCCAAGAAGGCCCATTCCTTCAGTCCCATGCAGCCCTGTGGGGGTGACTAGCAGGTGGGCTGCTGGGAGTGGAGGAAGAGCCAGTGCTTTCCTGAAAGGTCACCTTGAGCAGCCCCTACAAAAAGAAAGTCAGCTTTTTAAAATCAAACAGGAGCTTGACAGTTGTATCTGCTTTCTCACCCACAGGCTTGCCGAGCTTGGCTGTCTAGTCTCTACTCCCTGCACAGGTTCCTGAACTACTCTGACCAACTGCAGGTGGCAGTCGAGGCCTCTGGAGACCTGCTTCTGCCTTGTGGGATATCAAGGCTGCCTTAGCAGACAAGACAGTGAGATCCAGGGCGCCCTTGCTTCTCACCAGAGGTCACCAGCGCAGCCCATCCCTGCCCTCAAGGCCCGATGGCGGAGGCGGCCCACCTGCGTGCGCTGCAGGAAGCAGTCAAGTGCCCCGTCTGTCTGGATGATCTGAAGAACCCTGTGACCCTCAGGTGTGGACATAACTTTTGTCATTCCTGCATCGAGGGGGCCTGGGGTCAGGGGCAGGAAAGCTTGCGCTGCCCTGTCTGTCGTTACCAGTGCAGAGAGAGGCTGGTCACGAGCAATGCGCAGCTGTGCAGGATGGTGGATATGGCCAGGATGCTCCGGGTCAGCAGCAGGGCCGAGAGTCAGGGGGAGTCACCTTTATGCAAGACGCACGACCTGGCGCTGGCCCTCTTCTGTGAGGAGGACCTGGAGCTGCTGTGTCCCCAGTGCCCTCGGCCCCCTGAGTGCGAAGGCCACCGTGTGAGGCCCGTGGCCGAGGCGGCCTCTGAGCACAAGGCCAGGGTCTACAGCTACTTCAAGCCCCTCAAGAGGCACGTGGCAGAGTTTCAGAAGGTGTTAGCCATCCAGAACACAAAGTCGTTAGAAGCGAGAGGCAAGGCAAGAATCAGCGAACTTAACTTACCGCCTGAAGTAAAGTACCTGTGCCAGTTCACACAGGGTATATGTCGTGCAGTTTTCTTAAGCGCAGATGAAGAATACAGAAATTACCTCAAACAAAAATGTGATGACGACGAGACTGCCTTTATAGATCACCTTTGCTCATTGAAAAGTCTGGCCATGGAGCTGACCGAGATGAGGGCGCTGTCAGAAGTGAGACTGCTGACAAGCATCAAGGGCATGCTCTGCAGGTGGGAGAAACTGAAGCTGCCGGTCCAGAACCTGCTCCAGACAAGGACAGCAGGACTTTCACCTCCCCCGCCACATCCAGCTCCGTAGAAAGAAGGCCGTCACTCGGTCCTGAAAATGTCACCCCATTCAGCTCGTCTTAGAGGACAAGAAGTGCACGACATAGAGCACCTTGTGCCTCCCAGTCCCAAGAGGTTCGTGTCTCCCGTGGCCCTGGGTTCTGAGCTCATCAGTTACATGGCTTTACCTTCCCCTGTCAGATGCATAGCTTATGGAAATGAACACAAATGGAACATATACCTGGAATGGTACAATCCTCAATTTGTGATTTCAGAGTTGTAATAAAGTGTGTCTACACCTATGCCTATGCTGTCAATCTTGCCGATCTATGGATGAGGAATCCCTTCCAATGTGCATCGGCTGACACCATCGGCCTTAGTCTCCAAGCGCCCAGATGTTGGGCTGGGGTATGTCCACATGTTCTGTTCTGCATTCTCAGCTATGGTACGAAATATACTCTACAGGCCCCAGTGAGTGACCTTGCCCTCCATGGGCACCATGGTCTACCGCCCAGCCCCCTAGCTTCTACACTGAGGAAGACCAGTTCTAGGCGGGCTCGTGGACCTGAGCCAGTTGACTTGGGCATTGCCAGAGCCCCACCCCCGGGGCTCACAACACCCACTGCAAAGGTGGGGCCAAGTGCCTGGACCAAGAGACCCAAATCCCGCTGGACCCCTGACCCCTGAGGCTCACAGACCAGTCACCCACTATGTAGGTGGGCACTAAGGCCTGGGCCAAGAGACCCAGTGCCAGTCCTGCCTCCCCGACCCCTGAGGCTCACAGGTTCAGCTCCCACCTTGAAGTTGGGCGCAAGGTTTGGGTCATGTGACCCATGACTTGTTGGAACCCTACTCCCGTGGGTCATGGACCTGCCCCCTTCTCATAGGCCAGGAGACCCACTCCTGGGGATCGTGGACCCAGCACCCATCTGTGTCATGTATGTACACTTCCACGTCTGAAACCCACCAAAATATTAACGACCCTTCAGTCATGAAAGGGCTTGCTTCCCATGAGTGACTTCCTAATTCAGCCATAAAAAGATGAGGACACAACATCTTGCCAAGACGAACAACATTTATTGGTTCATCTGCACATCCCGCCGGGAAAGGGGGCAGAGGGGCACAGGGACTAAAAGTGCAAGGCTCTGGGAGAAGCGTCCTGTTGACGAGGCCCTTCTATCTTCCCGTCCTCCTGGGCCTGTGGAGGTGACAGCAGAGAGGGGTCAACAGCAAGTTGATTGCCCCTTCGACATGACTTTGGTGATGAGAGACTTTGAAGGCATAATTGGGAAACATGGCACAAGATTTTCTGTAATTGTGGCAGCGAATCTAGTGGTTTCTGTTGTTCAAACCGTAAAATGAAACTTCTCCCAGCTCAGAGTCCAGAAAGATGCCAACCTGGTTGACTTGCACTTCATCGGGGCCTAGGGACTGCCACCATTCACCAGCATCCACTGCCGGGGGATGGCGCTCTGACAACCTGGCTGCTCAAAGATTCTTGAAGATGCCCAGCAACCATTCACCTGTGCCTGTCATCTACCTGCCAAAAAAAGCCTCCTGCCTGCACACAGGCCCAGGCAGCTGGAAACGCAGGTAACTGCTGGGCACTCAGGAGATCCTGTAGGTTCAACATTGAAAATGTGGCGCTTTTTCAATCCTCGGAGACACTAAAGCTAGGGTGGGCAGCTTTGGGATGCACGCTCATGATTTTCTGCATACCAAAGCAATGGGCAGGGAGACCTCACAAGTCCTTCTCGATGTCACAGGGAAAGAGCTCTGGGATTTTCAGCTCTCTGTACCTGCGCTCCACACTCTTCAATCTTGTCAGGAAATCCGCGTCCTCCTGCAGACACGTGTCTATGATGTCACTCATCAGCTCCTGCAGCGTGAACAGGTAGTCGGACACGCGGCGCTTGTTCTCAGCGAGTTTTTCTTCCACCTCCTGCTGCCTGTGCAGCAGCATGCAGTGTGACATCAGTTGTTGCACTGGCCCAGTGAGCTGAGGCAATCTCCAGGCTCTCCCCAACAGGATAGTCCTGGGAACCACCTGCGGCTCATGCGCAATGGATTCTGACAGCTGCCTAACATGCTCTGCTTGAGCATCTTCAATATACTTCTCCAGCAGATCGGCTTGTGTCATCAGCAGCTCCCTGTAACGGGCAGCGGCTTTCTGCACGGGCACCAGGCGGTGGCCAGAGTGGGCCGACGCCATCTCGCCCTGGGCACACAGCAGCTCCAGGTCCTGCTCACAGAACATATCCAGAACCTGGCCATGGGTGGCACACAGGGATCTGTCCCTGGGCTTCATGGGGGGCAGCAGCTGCTTCAGAACATCTACCATGTCGCTCATCTGGTGGTTCCTTGGGGGGCTGCTGTCGGCACAGTGGTGCAAGCAGACGGGGCAGGGGAAGGTGTCGCAGAGATCTTGCCAGCGCTGCTGGATGCAGGAGGAACAGAAGTTGTGGCCACACTCAGTGGTCACTGGGTTCCTCAGGTAGTCCTGGCACAGGGGGCAGCTGGCCTCTCTTTGGAAATCCTTCAGGGGGACTGCAAAGGCCATTGTGCGAGGACAGGTGCTTCTGCTGAGGCTGCCCTGGCCGGTCTGGTCCTCTGGGAACTCGGGAGGGTGGGAACCAGATGGCTCCTGTGCAGCCCCTCCTAAAGGGTTCCTGGGGTCTTCAGGAAGCTATGTGAGGGCTGTCTGGGTCTCTCCCTTTCTCTCGGGAAGCAGCTGCCAGCAGGTGTGGTCCGGCAATCACCGATCCTGCTGCCAGATCCACCTTCCCTCAGACTCAAGCTTGTTCTTTAGTCTTGTTGGCTGCCAGAGCCACCACCAGGCAGGGATATCCAGACCGCAAGACAAGCCCAAACAGCTTTCTGTAACAAAATCACAACAAAAAAGGATGGTTTACAGAAGGCATTGAACATGCTTTGTGTATATATTGATCACAAATAAATGTTTGGAAATTGTTTCTTTTGAATGAGCTTCAGAGAGGAATGGTCAGAGCTTCTTCATCCTCTGGTTCACACCCAGGTGGCTCAGCCTACCAGGCTGCACCCCCTGAGCACGCAGCAAGCCTCCTCCTGTAATCCCACATCTTGCTAAGGAACTGGGTCGGAAATGGGCCCACCTGAACTTGGTCTCTTGTCCATATGGGGTGACAACATCGCAGGGTGTGGCTCAGTCCACCATGCTGGTCTCAAACACAATTATCTACATTTATGCTGATCTCAAAACATATAACAAAAATAAAATAAATCAGTTTGGATAATGGAAATCCCATGACCGAAGTTATGATATAATGAAGACATTATGAATGTGACAATCCACAAGGATGGATTCAGGGGCAGTAATTGTGTCCTCAGCCAGGGTACATTCAAGCCAACCCCTGTGTTCCTTTTTTTTTTTTTTTTAAGATTTATTTTGAAACATCTTCCGTCTGATGATTCACTCCCCAAGTGACTACAATGGCCAGTGCTGAGCTGATCCTCAGCCAGGAGCTCCTCCGAGTCTCCCACATGGGTGCAGAGTCCCAAGGCCTTGGGCTGGTCCTCGACTGCCTTCCCAGGCCATAAGCAGGGAGCTGGATGGGAAGCGGGGCTGCCGGGATTAGAACCAGTGCCCATATGGGATCCCAGAGCATTCAATACAAGGACTTTAGCCGCTAGACCATGGCGCTGGGCCCAACTCCTGTGTTCCTAACCCAGCTTCCTGCACACTCCAAGAGGTCGCATATAATGACACTGACATCCCGGGCCAGTCGCACTTGCCTAGTGCCTAAAGTCCTCGCCTTGCATGTGCCAGGATTCCACATGGGTGCCCTCTCGTGTCCCAGCAGCCCTGCTTCCCATCCAGCTCCTTGGTTGTGTCCTGGGAAAGCAGTCGAAGATGGCCAAAATCTTGAGACCCTGCACCTGTGTGGGAGACCCAGACTCCTGTCTTCTGATCTGCTCAGCTCCGGCTTTGGGATTCACTAGAGGCCTGAATCAGCCAACAAAAGATGTTCCTCTCTGTATCTCCTCCCCTTTGTGTATCTAACTTCCCAATAAAAAGAAATAAATCCCAACTGGGGGGTCATCTGTGTCTCCTGAGTGTGCCACTTCTTGTCTAGCTTCCTGCTGATGGTCTCGGTAAGCAGCCGAGGACAATCCAAAGGCACGGCTCCAGCTACCCACGTGGGAGACCATGTCTAATCCCCAGCCCGTGGTCTCACGTGTCCATTGCCACCAAGGCCCTGCTCTCCCACTCTGCACTCCCTAGCAGCTGACTGCACCCCCGGGAGCCAGGCCGACAGGTTGCCTCCCTCCCCTCCCATTAGCACAGGGTGGACACTGGGTATTTTGATCAATACCTTTAAGAGCAACTTGGTGACATAATAAAGAACTTGTGTGGGGATCCAGCACAATGTCTCACTCCTAAATGCACGCCTTGCTAGCGCTGGGATCCCATATTGGCTCCAGTTCCTACCCTGGCTGGTGCACTTCTGATCCAGCTCCCTGCTTGTGGCCTATGACAATAGTGGAGAGCGGCCCAAGGCCTTGGGACCCAAACCCCACATTTGGGTTGGAGGGATCTCCTGGCTCCTGGCTTTGGATCAGCTCAGCTGTAGCCATTGTGGCCACAAGCAGTGTAAACCAGTTTCCAAAGCTCCTTTCTCTCCTTCTCTCTGTAATTCTGCCTTCCCAGTGAAAAGCAACAAAATCTTTAACAACAAAATAAGAACCTATCAGAAATTTTGTTCCCCTGAGACGTGTACGTTGAAGCCATGCAGAGCACCAGATCAGCAGAATTGGGCCCCCCCAGCTCCCCGGCCCTCCCGCGTCCCACTTACCGGCAGCAAGTGGTCCTAGAAGTCCCAGGAGGATCTCGGAGAGAGCTTCTGAAACCTGCCTCAGATCTTGCTGTCTGCTTAGCTGTGACCTGGGCCTATATTATAGGGTGTTGTTAGGGTGGGGCTCTCAGGGCCCTGCCCTGGTGCTCCTTCCTGAGGAGGGTCCCAGGCAGATGGGCTTAGAGCATTCTGAGTGGTGCTGAGCGTAGAGGAAAGCACCAGGGATCCCATCAGACCAGGGTTGGGCTGGATGTTGAGATGCTAATCTCTGCAAAACGCCTTAATCTCATCGGGGCTGGTGGGGACACGGAGGTCTGAACGGCCAGGGAGATTTGCCCTCTGCTGGTCGACTCAGGTCTCTGGAAGGATGAGCTGCAGACAGTGTCCGGCACAGTGGAAGGCAAGGAGAGGACAGCTGTGTCCTGCTCAGGCAGATGCCTGGGCAGGTGCATTCCTGGTTCCCTGGCCCTCAGGACCAGCTCAACACTGGTCTCATGATGGCAGCTCTCCCTCTGGAGACAGACAGAGGGAACCCTGGGCTGATCTGACCCACGGGACAACCCTGGGAACAGCTCCAAGTCAGGCAGCGTTGTGTGGCTTTAGACTGCTGGGACTCCCTGAGTCACTGACCCTGAGAACACAAGACCAGGGACAAGGATTTCTTTGGGACAAAGCCTGCGGATCACGAGGAGCATAGCAGAGAGTCCAGGCCAGGAGGCAGCAGGGCCTGGAGGGCAGTGGCCTCAGAGCACCTGTTGAGTCCCTGCCAGCCCCCATGCCAGGGCTAGCGTGACTACCAACCCTTCCAGCCCTCCAGCCCTCCCC